AAAAGGAAAGAAACAGCATATGGGAAGATATGTGTAGGTCATATGCAAATACTGCCTATTTTATATAAGGGACTTACATAAGCATCCATGGATATGAGAATCCAGCAGGACTAGGGGGTGGGAGGGGGCTCCTGGAGCGAACCCTCTATGGATACCAAGGGACAACTGTATACAAGTAGCCTTCTGCCACAGACAAATGACAAGTCAAAGCTAGAAATAAAAGCCTGGTGACAGGACGCTGGGAACCTAGAAAGGGACCTTCAGGATAACATCAGCCTAAGTCTCAGCATGAGTGAACAGAACAAGTGACATAAAGTCCACACTGACTATTTTACAGCAGGGACAGTGCTGATGCCAATTATTTTCTGCCCTCGTCAGAAGAGCCTGTCATCCTTCCACAGAACAATTACCTATGGGTGCATAAGTTAAAAGCTCAATTCTTTCCCCAGTTAAGCACAGGAAAGGGCTGCTCACAGCAATTTGACATCATTTATTAAATTAGGTTAATTTTTAAATGTTACTCTAACAATTATGCCACTATTACGTAATTAATATTCCAACTGACTTTACAAGAAAATAACTAATCACTAGGCAGTCATGAGACTTTTCTGTGGCCAACAGTACATTAAACAGAAAGAGCACCACGTGATGGGTGGGGTCAAAGCCTTTCCCACACTCCTTCAATTTTAGCCAACAGTGTGCCAAGCTGAATTCGGCAGGTTACCCAGAACTTCACTTAATATATTAATGCATTCACCGGTGTAAACTCTTTGAGGATAAAGTAATGAATGGGGAAAGCTTTAACAATCAAAAAGTTCTTTTAATTTGTAGGAGAAGCAAGATAAACACATATAATTAATTGTTTGCTTCTTCCATTTCACCAGCTGGAAATTACAATACTGGTTTATTTCTTGAGGCTATTTCTTGCATTCATTAAAGAAATGTACATAAGGCATCCTTATCCTGGTTTTCTTCTTTTCTTTCTGCGTTTTATGGATTCTTATAATCTACCTTAAATCAAATCCTTCTCAGAAAAAGGGAAGGTAGAAACAAGTAACAGTCATACAGGACATCTACTATAACAGAGACACAAAGCATGTTTTCCCTGCCTAGCCCCAGAATGAAGTGGAAAGAATCCTCAGCCAATACACACACAGCCTCTGCAGGAAAGAATGCAAGAGTTGATTAGTGATATCTGTCCTGCAAAGAGCAACAGTTTGAGGACCTATGTGCCATGAATTTGTCCATTCTATCCTTCAATAATCCATGGAAATGCACAGAAGTTGAGTGGATAAGATGTATGAATAAAATATAATATGAACTGTTTCTCAGATGCAACCAACACAGGAAAAGATATGTTCTGTAGTTGAAAACCGTGAGCAAAACTGGACTAAGCATCAAGCTTTAGAGGAAAAAACAATCCAAATTCTAGTCCAGCTGGGCAACTGGGGAGCCATGAAGGGGCTGGGCCTACTTTATTCAGCTCGAACATTAAGAGGTTGGATTTCTTGACCATTCTCTGCTACTGGCATGAGGGAATGGGTACAAGAACACAGTGACTTTACAAAAGCTTCACTTTGCCAGGCCAGAGACATACCTAAAACCTCCACAACTCCCCACACTGGTGTATGGGATTTATAATCTGTGGTAAACATCTACACATAGTTTTAACCTATAGCATCTCCCAGGCAAGAAGTTTCTTATACATGATATTTCTTTTCCTTATACAATTTCTTTCCTACCTTGCAGGCAAGGATAAAAGCCAAGGCCTTCTACTTTAATAGCTGAATAATTAAATTCAGCAAATAATTAAAAGTAAACTGTCATCACTTCAATGTCAGACCAGTCAAACTTCCCGAGTCTAGTCACTCATGGATTCGAGATCAGCCTATACCTTACCACCATATCCTCATCACTCTATCTTATTTCTAGAACAACTTTCCACATGTGACACAGCAACATGACTTCCTAAAGAAGTTCAACCAGAAATGGTGTCACAGCATGCACCTGCTGACCAGATTCCACCCACTCACCAGGTAAGTTCATGTTTAGCTGACCAGGGGCACCCCTAGGAAAACCAGGAAAGTCACACAGGACAGTCTGAGAGGGCAGGGCTGTCTGTGCTGCCCTCAGATAGTCATGTCTGGCCTCAGCAACTGTAACAGATATATATCATTTTTTTCTGCCCTATATCCTCTCTGCTATGGTTTGGTTATGTTTAAATCTGTTCCCCAAAGCTTCAAATCCTAGAAGCTTGGTCCTCAGTGCGGCGCTGATAGTGTGGAACCTTTAAGAGGTAGAGCCAAATGAGAGGCCCTTAGGTCAACTGGGGACATGCCCATGAGATTGGAGATTGGGACTCCAATCTCACTGATAAATATGATCTATTCCTCCTACATGCCCTCCCACCATCATGATGCCATCTGCTATGATGTCCTCGCCAGAATCAAGCCAATGCTGGCACCTTACCCCAGAATCTCTAAAACTAAGGGCCAAGTAAACCTCTTTTCTTTATAAAGTTAGCCTACCTCAGGAACTCTGACATAATTTAAGAAAAAAAAAAAAAAAAGGAATAATACACCCTCCTTCTAAGAACTGCCCCTCTCTAACACCAAAAAGTATTATTACTTCCAGTGTTTCAAGTGACCTGAGCTGAGAATCCCATTCATAGACTCAATAAACAATTTCTGAGAACACTGAAAGCAGGGCCAGAATCCTTTTTCAAGGTCTGACATAGACACTAGGAGATCTCTAGGTATAAGGACCGCACAGACTTACAACTGCCAGGCCATCTTTTCTATCACTTGAAGAAGATCAGACCAGCTAAAGAAAGAAAGCAGGTCCTGAGAGAACGACAGTGTGACAGACTTCTTCCACACCACATATGCACCTTGAGCCTTGTGAGCTCAGCCTCACATCAGAAACTGCCTAAACATTTTAGTTCCTTGACCCAATGAAGTGTCCTTCAGCTCCAGGTTTTTGTGACTTGGGGGTGCTTTATATAGAACAAACCGGGTTTCTGTTATCAGCAGCTCAGAGTTTGGAGGAAAGACCTCTTCGGCTAAATCCATGGATTCAAGGTTCCAGTTCTTTCTTTAGCACCCAGTGACAAATCATCCTTTTCCTAAACCTCAGACTCAGTTTCAAGGGTTCCACTTCAAACCAAAGAATACTAAAATGTTCCCAAACAGAAATTCAAAGAAAAAATTCAGCACATCAGAAAAACTGTCAAGGTTCATCCATCATCCAAGACCTAAGGGGGAGAAGACCAAAGACAAGAGGAAGAGGACGAAAGATAACTGGGGGGAGGGGACACAGCAGTTCACAACAGTAACAGTAAGAACAGTATCTCCAGGGAGGAAGCAGAGTCTAATGACATATTCTTCCAAAGTTGTCCCTAAAGTATGTCCTAGCTCTTTATCAACAGGAAAACTCGCACACACACAATGCACAGCAGACAATGGAAGGGAGCTCATCAATAACCAGGTTCCAAGGTTATGATCCAATTTTCTTATTATTTTTAGACCACCCTTTAGTTTTCCTTTTACAGTTGTCTTTTACAGGTCTATCTGCTGAAGGAAACCATGGTCAAATTCTATGGACCATGTCAAGAATACTCTCCCAGGCTCAGAGGCTAGCATGTGCTAGATAATCTAAAGTAGTTAAGAGAGTAATCTAACAAACAGCATTCTAGTGACGTCCTCCCATCAATGACAGGGGAAAGACAATACAAGAACATGAACAACATGATAGCTAAACATTTAGACTAGCAGTCTTTAACCTTCTAGGAGTCATAAACTGTTCTGAAAATCTGAAGAAGGCACCTTGCCCAGACAACAATGCACAAACCACAACACACTGCATATAATACAAAGGGGTTCATAAGAGCTACTCATTACACCCATCTCCAATACACCTGACTCAGGATTCTCTTTAAAATGACCTGAGTGTCATTACTAATCCGCAAAGACGTCAAAGGACTACAAAATAGCTTATAGGAAAATTGTGAAACTTCCAACTCTATAAGCCCATGCTGAATCAAAACTTAAAAACTTAAAAACTTACCCTCACTTTCCGCACTTATGGAAGAAAAGTTTAGTTTTTGCTCTATTGGCTCTATTTAGGAAGTCTCCCTTACCTTGTTGGACCATTTATATGCTTGCAGGAGCTGACTATAGAGCGGAGTTTTGTCCTGCACAGGATCCAGGCTTAATAGCCCGCTGTTATGAAGAGGGTGGTTCTCAGATGGCTTGCCTACCAAGTTGCTCAGACGTTCCAGCTCACTGAAAAGTAAAGAGATAAAACAAATAAACCTGAGTCCACTTAAGCTCCAGCGAAGCCAACCACATTGGTCAAAGGCTGGATGCCATGAGAAGTCCTTTAAGAAATGCTTTTTTGAAAGGTGAAAAAAAGATTAGGGACAACCAAGAAAACTCCAAGATAAACTGGGAGTTTAATCTTAATTTGAAACAGGACTCCCTGATGCTTTTCCAAAGGAGAGAAAAGGGGCACAAGAAGCAGCAAGACTCCAAAAATCAGGATTTAACAACTCGAATTGGTCTCTGCAGGGGGGGAGGAGACTTTCTGGGATTTTGCAATGTGGTGAAACACTGCCTCTCACTATGGGTTTTCAGACCTACGTGCAGATCACTACATTTGGCAGAACAGCAAGTACCTGAATAAATGGTGATTATTTATCATTCACATAGACTAGATTTGTACATGATGCTTCACAGATGGTAAAATTTAGCAAAACAAAGAAGAGATAAAATAAACAAATGGAATGGGAAGACACCACGGAGGAACTGTGGCAAACAAACACACTTCAATCTAGCAGGAAAACTCTGGAGAAGCTTGGGAAAGTGAGCCAACAGCAAAAGCACACTCCAAGAGCATGCTCTGAGGGGCCAGTCCCCAAATGCCAACAAAAGCTCTGCACAGCTTCTCATGCTACATTCATTCTGGAATCTTTAGCCACTTTCTTCTTGACACTACAAAGATTCAAGAAGGCAAAGGAGAAATATCAACATTCTTAAAGTTTCTAAAATGGTGAAGAGTTAGATCATCCTCAATAGAAGGGGAAATAGAAAGTGAAGAAAAAACACCCAGTGCATCTCCTCAAACCAGAAAAGTATTAACTGGCACTGCACCCCAAAACAGCATGTGGATGTGGGAGTTGAGAAGGAGCGTGGGATTTATGGAAACTACTAAAGGGGGAGAAAGCACCCATCATTTGGCCACCACCTCCTCCATCCTACCTCCTCTCTTCACCTAATGACTAAGGAGGCCAAGATGAAAAATAGATAAAAAATCAGGCTGGGATTTAGCACAGTAGTGGAGCACCCAGCGTGTGCCAAGGACGGGGGGGGGGGGGGGGGGGCGGGACGACATGACCCCAACCAATACTGAATCATAGAAGAATAGTTCACCAAATATTCTCCCCTACTAAGGTCACTTCTGAGAAGTAAAAAGCAAAAGTCCTAACATTCTTCCTTCCTGGGAAGGGCTGACTCTCTTAAGGGAAGGCAACTCAGGACCTACGCAATTCAAGAATTGCCTAGAGTGTGCCAGGCATTTTACAAACATCCTTTCATTCAATGCTTACAAGGTAGAAGCAAAGAATGTGGCTTGTAAGAAGAAGGAAAGAAATGCATAATCCTAAACCCTATAGGACCACAAGGCAAGAACTGTTGGGGGCGGAATAGGCACAGTGATGAGGCTGATTAACAAATTACAGTAGGTTTCTGCTGAGGAAGAACTGAACAGGAGCAGAGAGAGTAAAGTGACAGCTCTGAGCAAGTGGCTTCGGAACGGGTGGGGACGACAGATCAAGACCAGCTTCGCCGTGTTTGGGAGTGAAGAGGTGGAACTGATGAATCCCAGGCTCAGGGGCAGGGATCCAGGGAACTTGCTTGGGTGTGGGGCCACTAGGGCTCTCAGTAGTCCAGGCCATCAGACGGGATGATGCACAGAGGGCCTACAGGTGAGAAACCTGCTAAGCTTGGAAGAGACGAACAATTTCCTGGGAATAGCACAACTCCTCGACAGAAATGGAACCACCAGAGTGGGCAGCAAGGATGGCGGGAGACAGCCAGTACCAGGAAGCCAAGGGAATGGAGACGAGAAAGCGGGGACGGGAGATACGATGTCCCTGAGGGGCTGGCAGAGCCTTGGAGAGGACGGGGAGCGGGGAAATGGACAACAGCCGTTGACTGGGAAGACTCGCGTGGAGTCGAGGCAGGGTGGCAACGGGTCGGTTCTCCACCCCGGCCCCTTCAGCCGGTACCTACTTGAGGTCCCGGTTGACCGAATGCAAGTTGTCCTGGAAGTGCGCGATGAAGGCCTTCTCCCGGCCCTCCAGCGTCTCCTTGTTCCGCATCCCATCCTTCAGACAGTCGAACACCCTGCTCACGCTGGAGCGCAGCGCCTGGATGGCACTGATGGCCTGGGAAAAGGCCTCTAGGTTCACGCCGACATTCAGCACGTCCGCCATGTTGCCGCCGCCACAGCCGGCTCTCCCGAGTCGGCCTCGGGAGGGAAGCGCCGCGCTCGCTGATAACGTCATTCCCGGAGGCCTCTGGGAAATGTAGTTCGCGCGCGGCTGGCTGCCTCGCGAGCTCGCGGGGGCATCTGCCCAAACAGGGTTTCCAAGCTGAGTAAATGAACGCGAGGAACGGCAAAAAGTGATCTCAATTTGCTTAATGGTAGATGACAAAGAACTACAGAAAGTTTCCGCGTTTCCCCAAACGTGTACTGTTGGAGTCATATGCAAAAGAATTGCTTAGAGCAATAAAGGTCCCCTGAGTGAAGGGTTACAACCCATTGAATAAAACGAGTCCACTTCATAGATAAAGAAGGAAATGCAACCTACTGGCGTAGAAGGAATGATATTAGAAAACTGCCATTAGAGTAATTGATTCAGGTAGGAATCAATGATGTTAAACTTGGAGGTGAAAGTGTAAAAAGAATAGCAGGATGGTTACAGTCTCAAAGAATCCTCTCACCAGATACTTGTTAAGAAGGAGAAAATCATGTTTCAACAATTTCACTTCTGGATGTGTACCCAAAATAACTGAAATCAAGATTTCTAAGAGATGATTGTACACCATGTTCATAGCAGTATTATTCACAACAGGCAAGAGGGGGAAGCAACCCAAGTGTCCATCAGTAGATGAATAGGCAAACAAAATGTGGCATAGGTATCCCACAGAAATGTACACATCTTATGCCCAGGGTGGTGGCTTACACCTGTAATGCTACCCACTAGGGAGGCAGAGATGGGGAGGATCAAGGTTCCAGGCCAGCCCAGGCAAAAATTTCAGGAGACCCTAACTCAACCAATAAAAAGCTGGGTATGATGGTTCATCCCCTATCATCCAAGATACCAGGGTCCAAGCCCACCTAGGCATAAACAGGAGAACCTATCAAAAAAAATAACCAAAGCAAAATAGGCTGGAGGTATGGCTCACGTGGTACAGTGCCTGCCTGGCAAGCACAAGGCCCTAAATTTAAGCCCCAGTACCATAAAATTAATAATAAAAAAAATAAATTTATAGATTCTGAACGTGCTACTCATGATGTCTTAGTAAGGTCTGCAGATTAGTTAATCATTTTATCAATGATAATTTCATGGATGAAATTATGCTATGTGAAACAGTCACAACAGGACAAATACTGTAGGATTCTATGTTTTGGGTAGTCAAGGGCTGGTGGAGTGGCTCAAGTGGTAGAGCCTCTCTTGCAAGTGTGAGGCCCTGAATTCAAATCCCAGTACTGCCAAAAATAAATGATACCATGTATAGAGCAGCCAAAATCATATGAACAGAAAGTGGAATGGTGGCTACTGTGGGCAGATTTCTAGTAAAACCCAGAAGGAAAAGATTTAGGGTTTAAACAAAAGCAACAAAACACTGGCTGAATCCAGCATTGTAAAAGTTCAAGACACCTTCTCCTTTTGTTTTTCTGTCCTGTCCACCATGGACAGGTTTCTGGGAATGTTATTATCTTTTACTAACGAGCACCCACCCAAGTCTTCCTTCACTTTCTTTCCTTTGAGGAGCTGAGATGTGCAGCTTGGAGCAGAAAGGATGAGAGCAGGAGAAAGGTCATGATAGTGACCTTCAACTTACCTTCATATCAATCAGGGGAAATCCTTCTGGGTTTTCTAGAAGCAATAACAAAAAGCAGTTGTAGGAGACTGTAGGCAGGAAGATTGCAGCTGAATATTTCAAAGGGTTTTAATGGACATTGACTTGGAGAAGTCTTGTGGCTGGATCACGGTGGTGGTTGCACACACATGCATGCACACATACACACACACACACACAAGTGTATATTACCACAGTTTTTAAAAATTAACAATGTAAAAAGGGGGAAGGGTGAAATGGAAACAACAGTGACTTCACAGTGTAGAAACCTGGCAGACCAGCTCGCTCCTCAAGGAGTCACATCAGTATCACTAGTGACATTATGTACCTCTTGATACCATGCACTGAGAAGAGCACAAATGTGACTGCTGTGATGTTCCTGCCAAAAATGCAAAACCTAAATGTAATTAGGACACAAGTCAAACTCAAATTGAAAGACATGCAACAAAATAACTGACCTATTGTTTTTCAAGAAATATGTGTCAAGGGCTGAAGGGAGTGGCTCAAGTGGAACAGTGCCTGCCTGGCAAGCATGGGGCCTGGGTTGAAGGCTGAGGAACTGTCCCTCACTAAAGAAGACCAAAGAGACATAAGGACTAAATGCAATACATGCTCTGGGATTTCCTTTTCCTGATCAGATTGAGACAATTGGTGAAATATGAGTAAGGTCTTTGGATTCGCTAACAGTATCATATCGGTGGTGATTTCATGATTTTGTCCATTGTATTGTGCTTATGGAAAGAAATATCCTTGTTTTGGGGAAACACATATACCCCGAAGTGATAAAAGAGCATCACTGTGTCTGCAAGAAAAAGAAAATAATATGAATTTGTTTACTTAGAGAGAGAAAGAAAAGCAAATGTGGTAAAATGTTAGCAGTCATGGAATCTGAGTGCAGCGCATACAGGAATTCTTTGCACTATTTTTACAATTGTAAGTTTGAAATAATGTCACAATAAGTTGTTTTAAGGGACTTGATGTTTTAAGGAGCAGGAAAAAGTATAAACACAGTCCAGATGGCAGGAAAAAACCTTCAATTCTGCCAAGCTCTGCTGACCAGGATTTTGAAATTGTGTAGTTCTCCTCAATTCCACTTCCCTAGTCGTCCCCCTCCCCCACCACACCACACCATATCAGTGCAAAGCTGCTAGTCCTGGACCTAAAGATAAATTCTGGCCAGGCGATGATGGCTCACGCCTGTAATCCCAGCTACTCAGGAGGCAGAGATCAGGAGGATCACATTTCAAAGCCAGCCCAAACAAATAGTTCATGAGACCCTATCTTAAAAAAAACCCTTAACAAAAAAGGGGTTGGTGGAGTGGCTGAAGATGAAGGCCCTGAGTTCAAGGCCCTGAGTTCAAGCCCCAGTGCCACAAAAAAAAAAAACTGCACAGAATCTGAGCCCTGGTGTTGCTTTTCATGAGACAATTTTTAAACACTGTTTAAATGAATTCACAGTCCTCTGTGAAAGAAAGCGGTTGACTTGGGTTTGTACAACGGCTTTCATTTCCTGGCATGAACCTCACCTTTATAGTGCTGCTATGTATAGCTTTTCTTAAGGGGAGTAAGGGCACATTACAGAAAACTAACCATAGTCCTTTACCCAACTTATTGCTCTTCCCTGAGACTCAGTTTCCTTAACTGTAAAACAGGGCTAGCAATAATAGCAGTCTTCATAAAATAGCCATCAGCTTTAATAACACCTTGCCAGAAAAGCTTTTGAACTGGTACTTGGTGTATAATAAACACTTGGAAAATCACAGCTGTTAGGAGAAAGTGCCTGGGACTTACCCACTGGAGGATTCTTTACACAGAATCAAGCAAGGGCTTGCAATGGGTCTATCATTCCAATTATATCCGAGGACATTGTCTTGTTGCTAACAGCTTGGCAATTAATTGTGTTCTATAATTTTCTAGTTTGGGTGGCCTTATATTGCCTTTGGGATATAGGAGGTTTTATGATATGGTAGAAAATTTTTTTTCAGTTTTACAAAAGTAAAAGTCCCTGAAGGACTAGAAACTGTGATCCACGCTAAGTACATTCTCCTGGAGGGCGGGGGGAGGCGGTGAATGGACTAGTCTATTTCTGCCATCACCTGTATGCACCCACCAACATGAAATTTTGTGTGCAATTTCAGGGAGTTGATGGCCCCCATAAAGCTCAAACATGGACCTCTGGTTAAGGACCTGTAGACTACAGTCACCATTGGGTCTCCGGTGCCTGGGACACAACTGATACTCAGTGTAAGTTTGTGGAAACAGTGAATTAATGCAGTCAGTGTTTTTGCTGTCTTGTGTCCTCTCTCCAAATTTTCCCATCTTTTTGTACACTCAGAGCTCATCTCTCCATCCTACTCAGTCCCCTTCCTGCCCATACCCAGCCCCACACACATTTTCCTTTGTCTAGTTCTCTGATTCAGTGGTTTAGACTCTGATTGGTACAATAAAATAAAATAGACATTGTTCCCACAGTCATTAGTTTTCAGAATTTCTCTGTGGCTCCTCTCTTCTGGGAAACTCAGAAATTGATCAGTGGAAATACACATTTCCCCTGAACCTCGTAAGGACTCTTTTATCACGTCAACAGAAAACTTTTCATTTTGGAAGGGAATGGACTGGGGTTCTCAAAGGCATCATAAATTCTTGTGAATGTTGGCACATATATGTCTGCATCTGTGTGTGTAGGTGGGATATAAATTATATTAAAGGAGTTCATTTTGAGCAATATAAGATTTTAATTATTATGATCTTATGTTTGGGCAAAAGGCAGCACCCTGCTGCTAACATCTTCCAAAATGAACAAACCATTAGCTTGATGCTATCAGCTCAGGACTATTAGAATGAGCAATCAGAATTAAAGTTGTCAGTATTTAATTAAAATATGCTGCACCTCTCATCGTGTCAGAGATCATGTGGTTTAAGCCTTCAGGCAGAGAAAACATTCTCCTCAATTAATAATTATTAAGGATTCTTGCTACGCACAGAACAATGAGCTGGATGGTCAGGGAGGATGTCACAGGCAGATTTAGCCAAATCTGCTTCGAATAAATGACGTCTCTGAGCTGTCTTGGTGGTCGGCACACCTTAAAGCATATGGCATTGCAGGTTGGACCGAGGATTAAACTGAGGACACTGAGTCCTGAGGACATAGTAGGATTCATGTTAGTCAGTCATTCAATCATTATCCATTGAATGAGCCCCACATTTTGCAATAGTGGGGGTAGGGCAATGATGGAGGCTAGCCCAGTATGTAGCACTGAAAATATCTGCAGCGGCTTATATGTTCCTCCACATTTATCTGCCTAAGGCTCAGCGCATCAGTCATGTTTGAAATGTTTATCATAGCCAATCTAAAGCAAATACTGCAAAGGATTCCTCT